AGACTGGGTCTCACTGCTCCTCCCTTCGCCCCACATCAAGGAAGGGCTGCCAGGGTTGGGGAGCCGGAGGCGCCGTGCTCATCCAGCTTTCTCAGTGCAGCCCCATCATCAGCCCCTGGCCTGGCCTACCCCGTGCACAACTCCTGCCGTGCTACGTGATCCCCCTCCCCCCAGGGTCTTGGTGGCCCCCTGCTAGTGTGCCAGCTTCCTCAGGGCTGGGTTTTGTCTTTCTGGAGAGCCCAGACATGGTGGACGGTGACTTGAGACCTGGAGCATCTCTCTCTTTCCTCCTCGAAGCTTCCTGCACGCTCGCCTCCGGACAGCCACCCTTCGGCACGATGCTGACGGGCAGGCCACCCTGCTGAACCTCCTGCTGCGCAACTACCTGCACTACAGCTTGTACGACCAGGCCGAGAAGCTGGTGTCCAAGTCCGTGTTCCCCGAGCAAGCCAACAACAACGAGTGGGCAAGGTACCTCTACTACACAGGTGAGCAGGCAGCTGAGCCAAATGGGGGCCTCTGGTGGGCGAGGGGGTTGCGTGATGGGTGCTCTTCTGACCCATTCTCCGTTCCTCCACACCTAGGGCGGATCAAAGCCATCCAGCTGGAGTACTCAGAGGCCAGGAGGACGATGACCAATGCCCTCCGCAAGGCCCCTCAGCACACCGCCGTGGGCTTCAAGCAGACGGTAAGCACAGGCCTCTGTGTCCCTGCCTGCTTCCCTGCACAGATGCTGCCTCTAGGGGCCACTAATGGGCACACACTCTGAGAGCTGGTACCGCTCACTCTGCCTTAGAGTTGCCCGGGCCGAGTGCCATAGCTTTCCTTTGCAGAGCAGCTGGTGGGCCCAAGTCAGGGACGAGGTTCTTCACTGGGCTTGCACCTAAGCCCCTTCCCCGAGCCTGCCCCCAGTATCAGCCCAGCTCCCTAGCCAAACATGAGCCTTCCCTGAGCCTCTGGATCCCGCCCCTCCCACTCCCAATTCTGAGCCATCAGGATGGCCCATTCCAGAGTGGTGTGTTCACTGGTCAGCCAGGTGAAATTAGGTTAAAGCTAGGTGTAGCCAGAGGGTCAGGGGTTCGAAGGACCTGGTCCCATGCCCAGCATGGTTTTGGGGGCCCCAGCCCCCACTCTTTGCTGAAGCCCCGCCCCGTATCGTCTCATCCCTGGGCTCCGTGCGGTGCTATCCAGGTGCACAAACTCCTCATCGTGGTGGAGCTGCTGCTCGGGGAGATCCCAGACCGGCTGCAGTTCCGGCAGCACTCACTCAAGCGCTCGCTCATGCCCTACTTCCTGCTGACCCAAGGTAAAGACAGCTGCAGCACGGATGGGGTTGTGGAGCCCTCTGTGGCGTGGGGGCATTGGCACCATCTCATCTACTCCTGCCTGCAGCCGTCAGGACCGGAAACTTAGCCAAGTTCAACCAGGTCCTGGACCAGTTTGGAGAGAAGTTCCAAGCAGACGGGACCTATACTCTCATCATCCGGCTGCGGCACAACGTGATTAAGACAGGTGTGCCCCGGGGCGGGGCGGAATGGAGGGGCTGTGAGGACAGCCTGGGGCTGCACACAGACAGATGAGCACAGCTGTTCTCCATGACCCCGCCCCCACCAGGTGTGCGCATGATCAGCTTGTCCTATTCTCGGATCTCCCTGGCCGACATTGCCCAGAAGCTGCAGCTGGACAGCCCGGAGGACGCAGAGTTCATTGTTGCCAAGGTGGGGCTGGTCAGGAACCAGCGAGGCCGGGCTGGGCGCGGCGGTGTCTTCCTACCACGCGCCGGCGTTTGGCAGTGAAGAGAGAGCACACGTGTGTCCACGTCCCTGAGGGGACAGAGGAATGGCATGGGACGCTTTCTGGTGACTGCTCTTCCTCTTGGGCCTGCAGGCCATCCGGGATGGCGTCATCGAGGCCAGCATCAACCACGAGAAGGGCTACGTGCAGTCCAAGGAGATGACCGACATCTATTCCACCCGAGAGCCCCAGCTGGCCTTCCACCAGCGCATCTCCTTCTGCCTGGACATCCACAACATGTCCGTTAAGGTGAGGCCCGCGCCGCTGACCCCGTAAGGTCACCGAGTGACTTTCCAGTTGCCTGTGGAACACACCCACTTTTGGATTTTGAAGGACCATGGGTGGGGTGGGGTGCTGGTGCCAGGGGCCTGTTAGAGTTGTTCCCTGTCTCTGAGCCACTCCTCCCCCGGCGGAGACGGTGACAGAGTGAGGTGTCGCCTGCCCTGTCTGTTGCAGGGACTGATGGGATTAAATGAAATCACTGAATCAAGACAGTTGTCCCTTGCCATCAGTCTGCCTCCTGGTGACCCCACTTGTAACCTTTCTGAAGCAGAGGGCCAGGCCTTACCTCCTAGGCCCCTCTGGGTGGACTAGAGCTGCCGCCTGTCCTTTCAGAGGACCAGTCCTTACCATTGGCACCCTCCAGGCCTGACCATCAAGGCCCTCAGCAAACCAGCTAGAACACAGCAGAACCACCGCCTAGGGATTCTGAGGCTGTCGATGGGCACAGGAGCAAAGGCCTCGCCTTCCTCCCACGAAGCCCCTGGTGGGGTTGGCCTCGTAGTTAGCAGCCCGCTCCGCTCCGCGCACTCCCAGGGCTCAGTGGAGAGGTGGAAGAGGCAGTGCCGGTGTCTGGTTTCCCAAGTCTCCCTTCCCGGGAAGCCTGGGCATTCCTAGCCAGGTGCAGGACTGCCTGTGCTGAACTCAGTGTGACACGTGCTCTTTGTCGTCTGGCCCTTTCCTGTGACTCTAGACAAGTTTGCTGCATCAGTGCCTGCCCTCCATGCCCCCAAGTGGTCCGCCTGCCACCACCTCCTCCCCGAGCCCAGCTCCCCATTACAGAGGGCTGGACTTGTATTTCTCCACCTTCTCTCTCATTCTGTCGTACATATCGTGTGTGTGTCTCATTTTCTAAGTATTGACTGTGGGCTCTTGCTTTTATAATACTTAAGAACCTGGTGGGGCTGTTGGGTAAGCGTTTGACGACCAAGATTGGCAGTTCAAACCCACTAGTCACTCCACAGAGGAGAGATGAGGCTGTCTGCTCCCACAAAGATTGACAGCCTCAGAAACCACAGAGGGTCGCCGTGAGTCACAAGTGACCCGGTGGCAGTGGGTTTGATGTATGGTCGTCGTTAGGGGGCTCCAGGGGTGCTAACGGAAAGGAAGGTCAGCAGCTCCCGAGACCCAGCTCTCCAAGTGGGCAGTGCGGGCCCTTTGTGCAGACGCCAGCCCCGTCTGGTTCCGCTCCTGTGCTGTGAGTCGGTCAGCTCGCAGGGATCCCATGCTCAGAGGTTCTCGCTTGGAACCCCAGCCCCTCCTCAGGGGAGGGCAGCATTGGAAGCCCCTGGGCCGTGGCTCCTCTGTCCTCTAGGGTCACTGTGAGTCACGGTCAGCTTGATGGCCATGGGGGGGGGGTCATAGTAATCATGGGCGTCCATGCCTAGCTCCCACACTGCCCTGCGGGGGCCTGGCTCAGGATCTGACGGTCACTGTCGGTGATGCCACCCTGATATGTCCTCTCCTTCATGTGTTCCTTTGTCCTGTTCTTCAGGCCATGAGGTTCCCCCCCAAATCATACAACAAGGACTTGGAGTCTGCAGAGGTAAGCGTCCTGTTTATGGTGGGACTGCCCTGGGATTGGGAACCAGGCCGGGGCCGGGAGGTGTCGTGTCCTGCCTGCTGCTCACAGCCCGCCTCCGTCTGCCACTCCTCCAGGAACGGCGGGAGCGCGAGCAGCAGGACCTGGAGTTTGCCAAGGAGATGGCCGAAGATGACGACGACAGCTTCCCGTGAATGGGCTGGGGAGGGGGACACATGGGGGCCGGCTCTTTATAGTCCCCTGTCCAGGAGCTGGCCCCTCTTCCCACACTTGGCTCACGGACTGCAGAGGTGCAGGCGGTGAGGGGTGCAGGGAGCCAGCCACCCCCACCTCACCAAGACCCCTTCCCAGCCGGTGACTTGGTGCCCCAGGGCAGGTGGCCTCCCAGGCAGGGCCCTGGTGAGTGGGGCAGGCAGCAGGATGAGGGCGGGCGGGCCTGTGCTTGCCTCTGGGGAAGAGGGGCTGGACTGGGACATGTTTTGGGTTGTATGTTTTTTGAAGCTCCAATTATGATTTTTAAACAATAAAAAGTTCTCCAAGGTTCTTTATGCATCAGTTAGTTCGTTAGCATCCTGCACCTTAACAGCCCGAGTGCTGACAGGGCCGGGTGTCCGTCCTGCTCTTGGGACACCAGCCGGGGAGGGCCCGTGGAGGTGAGGAGGAGACCCTAGGCTGGGGTCCTAGGAAACTGGCTGTGAGTTCCCGGGCTCCTCTGAGAGCTAAAGGCGGGCTTTAAAATTAGGGTTCTGGGGGCTCAACTCCAGCACAAGCCTCCAATCTAGGGAGGTACCCCAGCAGTGAAGGCTCCAGGAGCAGGCTTTACCCCAAGGCTGTAGCGCCCCTCCCTCACCAGCAGAGAGTTGGTGGGGTCAGCACAGGGGGCTCCACTTTGACCTGGGCCGGGTGGTCTGGCTGCGTGTGGTGGGAAAGCGTGCCAGCCCGTCTCTCAGTCTCCACCAGGGCACAGCCGCCTCGTCTGGTCATCTGACGGTGGCTGTGTCCCTGGCTGGCGCCATGTGTGCTCTACCTGCCCAGCTCTCTCTTACCTGAAAACTACCTGTGGCCTCCATTCCCCGGCCCCTTCCAGGTGTCAGCGTCCCTGGCCTCCAGGCCACCCGGACTCCTGGGGAGATCAGACCTTTAGGAGGAGTTGACCTGAAAGCTGCGCTTGTCCGCTGCTTCGTAGTATCAAAAAGCGGAGCCCCTGCTAGGAGTTCTTCCCAGCCACTGGCCCGAGCCTGGTGCCTGTAGCGGCTCAGTCTGGGTGGGGTGGGAGGGCAGTACCAGGGTGCCCATCAGGTTCCAAGGGCACCGGAAGCATGCTACGAATAGGCATTGCTTTGGGCCAGAGCCTGACCGCCTTGGTCACAGGTTGGTCTTCCCCACCTCCCTTAGGCTGGTTCATGGGAACTCGTCAGGGTTGCTTCACCAAATAAATAGCTTTGCTCTCACTTGCCCCCAGCCCACTGTCCAGTCCAAACATGTTCTTTCAAGGGTCCCCATCATTGCCCCATTTTAGCTTTGGACGTCCAGCCCAATTCAAACCCATAGAGGATCTCCAGTCTCCAGGGAGGCTGGGCTGGGGGGCAGCCCTGGGCCCCTGCTTGGCCGTTGGGGCAGTGGGGGGAATTGCGTTTAACTGGCTTGGTTGAGTGAGCCGCAGTAGCAGAGTGGTCAGTCATCCTAGGCCAGTCTGACTCCAGGTCCGGGTCAGCCTGTCTGTGTGCCGCTTCCAATCTGGCTGTGGCTCTCCAGCCTGGTCCTTTTTGGTCTCCCATGTGGCCATCCTGTGGGGCCTTGGTCACATAATGTGGTGTGTCAGGCTGTGACTTGGCCAGTTTGTGACAAGGAGATCAGCAGGTGTGGCCACCAGGCTCTTCCTGCCCTGCCGACTGTGGGAGCTCGTTGTCCATCTTCCTCACGCTGCCCTGCCTCTGGGGAGATCCAGATCTCCGTCAGCACTGGACCCCACGAGCCTCAGATCCTGTTTTGTGCCTTCTTTGTAAAGTACTGAGTAACTGTGAGGAAAACATGCTCCGGCCCAGCCACCTCCACGCTTATTTACCGCTGTGGTTCCGACTGCGGACCTGCGGGTAGCAGCCCAACACACA